CCTCCTCCTCCTCCTCCTCCTCCTCCTCCTCCTCCTCCTCCTCCTCCAACCCTCTTCCCTCCTAGCACCGATGATGTTACCTAATTGGCCTCCAGCAAACAACCCAGCTTAGATTTCCTTTGATATTAAACAGGGAGCAAACCTTCCCTCGTCCTGAAGCTGTTACCTAGTTGGGCCACGCAACACCTGCAAGCTTCAGGGAGCCCCAAGCTTCAACCCCGAGGTGCAAAGACCCCTTTCCAAATCACTTGGCAAATCCTTTGCCGAGGGCTACCTGGCCAACCTTTTGTCATGCTCTCTCCCCTTTCCTCTCCCACCCCCCCCTTTCAAGGCCCGGATCGATCGAGGAGGGCACGGAAGAAACCCAGCCCGGAGAAGCAGACAAAAGGCAGCCAGCCCACCTACCCGCCCTCTTCTTGGGCTCCGTCCCTTATTGGTGCAAGATCCGAGCCGCGTCGTCGTGGACTACAGCAACCCAACGGCGGCAGCAGCAGCAGCAGCGCCGCGGCTGAGCAGAGCCTGGGAGGGCAGGAAAGAGAGAGGAGGGCGTTTGTAACCAGGGACGACCGCAGCAACACTTGGCACGGCTCTGGGGAGGAGAGAGAAAGGGAAAGCTGAGCAGAGAGAGAGAGAGAGAGCAGGTTGGGGGGAAGAAAAAGGGAAGCAGAAAGAAATTCCATTCATTATTGGCCTCGTTGGCTTCTCCTTCCAGTCGTTGGGATTCTTCCTCTCTCTCTCTCTCTCTCTTCTTCCTCCTCCTCCTGTTGTTTTCTTTTGGGGACGCAGAGAACGTCAGCTTTTCTTCTCCTCCTCCCAACCTCACCCAGCCCCGTTATGGAGCCGAGGGCTGCTTGTCATCTGCAGATGCTCCTCTGAAGACCCCCCGAGAGACGCCCAAAGAAGGACTTGGTCGGGAAACCCACCCACCCACCTCCACTGGATTGCAGCTGGGGTCCCTCCCACCGTTTCCCCATCCTTTGCCCATCGCCCCCCACCCCACCCCCCCGCATTCCTCTCCTGCGGCTCGTAGGGGGGGGTTGCAGGGAGGCCGAGAGGGCCCCACTTGGAGGGCCAGGTTGGTCCCTCTCCCCCCTGGACTTTGCTCCCCTCCATCCCCTCCCGGCAAGCTTCCTATATGAGTCTTCCTCCAGCCCAGGAGAGTCGTGGGGTCCAGTTGATGCCTTGCTGAGCCCGGACGAGCCGTTCGCCACCATGGGCAAATCGAACAGCAAACTGAAGCCTGAAGTAGTGGAAGAGCTGACCAGGAAAACATACTGTAAGTTTCTTTCTTTCGCCTTCTCTTCTCCTGTTCCTCCTTCTTCTTCCCATGCCCATCCTTCCTTTTCCCCCTTTCCCTTTCTCTCTCCTTCCTTCCTTCCTTCCTTCCTTCCTTCCTTCCTTCCTT